ATTTAACTACGAACCTCCAAATAATTTTTCGGACACGCTTTTAAGTCCAAAATTACCATACGGAGCTATTGGAATCATCAAAATTCTATTCCGGGGTCGTTTACACATAGGTCAATATTCAGCCAACCTTTTAAACTTAAGTTTTAGACTTTGGAACTAAGTGTTCCAATTTATTTGAAGACCTCACCGGACCCGAACCAATTACCCCGTCAAGTCATATAACAATTGTAAAGCACAAATTGAGCGATAATCATTACAACTGACTTGGGCCCAGATGTTCGCCTTTCTAAGTCAAGTAATGGTGACCCACCGAATACTGGAGCTTCGTAACATGTTGATGAAGACCCCCGAACTGAAGGTTCAGTCAGTAGAAGGGACGACTTTGTCTTCCCGGAAGAAGAATAACCCTGCTCTCTAGCCGACTAATCCCGTTAATCATATATCTAGGAGGGAACGTGTCATATTAGAGATTGTGTGAGTTTTGTAGGGTTTTGAGGTGCGGTCCCGGGTTTGACTTTTGGTTGACTTTGGGTAAATGTGTAAAGATTCGACCTTTATCAATTGAGTTTGCTTCCTATGGTATTATTTGATGATTTTGAGTTGCTTTTGGCTAGTTTCGAGCCGCGTGGAGGATGATTTGAGCGGGATGTCGCTTCTAGTGTATCAATTGGGCTTGTTTGAGGTAAGTATCTTGCCTAACTTTGTGGGGAGGGGGGGAGGGGGGAAATTACCCCTTAGTATTTGGGTTGATTGTGCTATTTGTGTTATGTGAAGGCCGTGTAAGCAAGGTGACGAGTGGGTACATGGGCTATATGTGGTATTTGACCGGTTTAGATTATCTAGACTCTTTCCATGCCTTTAATTGAATTGTCATAACATGCTATATCTCTCATTGTTAATCTACTCTTACATGCTCTATTTGACGTTGTTAGTACTTGTTCTACCTCTTACTTGTTATTTTGCTATTATATGCTTTAGTTGAAGTTATTGCCTTCCTTATTGTCGTGTTACCTCTTAATTGTTGAATCACTTTTAATTGAAGTTGTTATTTCATGGAACATAATCTTGTTGAGTTATTGGTGTTGAAGTTGTAATAGCCGTTATCATATTTAGGCGAAGTTGTTAATTGTTGAGATACCTTTTCTTGTTGAGCATTCTCATTCATATTGTTATTGTTGAAATTCTTGTACACATTGTGGTTGAGCCATGGGCTATTTGTTGTGGAAATATTGGTGTTGTCGACTTTGTGGCAAGTTGTGGCATATGGGCACTTGTGGTGCGAGTTGTGATTGTATTGTGATATTGATACGCATGTTGTGGTATTAGGCTAGGGGTTATTACGCATGCGGTGAGATAAGGTGGGCTTAATACGCGTGTTGCTAGTAGGGAAACTACTTGAAGCCATGCGGTAAGATAAGGCGGGCTAAAACGCGTGTAGCTATTTTGAAAAAAATAAATTTCAAAACTAAATATAAGGCTCACGCGGTGATATAAGGAAAGATTGTGATTGAAATTGTGAAATGTGAATACGAGGCGTACCTCAGTTGTGATTTTCATTGTAAATTCCATGTTGGAATAACTTGTTGATTTGAACGGTCATTGTTTTTCCTTCAATCATTCATCCGCATTTTGGTTGTGTTTGGTTATTCGTTGTTATCTTGGTGTTGGAATGATTGTGGTTTCTTGCGTGAGTCATGCATTCTATGTAATTTGTTGTGTTGCTTTAACATGCCAATCTGTGCCTTCGTTATAACTTGGTAAATTGATTGTCAATGTGAATTTAATTGCGTGGAGTCACTATATCATATTCTGTTGAGTTGTTGGCAACATAATGGTTTAAATAAAAGAATTGTTAACATGTTTTATTCTATGTGCCTCTTACATCTTGTTTGGATGGTTGCTACCTATTGTATTGTATCGTATGTTACTTTAAATACAATATTTGTTTTGATTGTTACTTAAATTTTATTGTATCGTATCGTTAAGTTCGTCATTACGTAACAACGAAAAATGCTACTTTATGTAACAACAGATTTGGTGTGGTGGCGCCGTTACCTTGCTTTTTACTCTTATTTTGCCTTTTTTTATTCTTAAATAATCATATTTTATTCTTTACCATACTTTTTAAAATAATAATTCTACTTTGTATCCAAACTTTTCTTAGTAATGTTGCAAGTTTATTCTTCATATTTTTTGTGCGTGACATCATGAAATGACGGCAAACGATATAATCTATCCAAACATTGTATTCATCATATAATTCAATAAAATACAGTACAATATAATACGATACATTATGACACGACATGTAACAACCGCCCAAACAAGCTGTTAAGATAGAACTCGTTATCTCACTCGGTGCCTTATTATTCTAAATGGTTATCGCACTTTCACTATAATTGGGTTCTCAAATTATACTCATCACCTTGTTAGATATTTACCTTACTTAAAATTCTTATCATATTTTTTTAACAAATTCTATATTTAATTCGTTAATTGAGCTTATGTTTTACTTTATTTAAAAATGATACTTTTACTCAATTTTACTAATCTCTAAACTAAACCCATCTTATACTCTGTTTCGTATAAATTGTATATTATTTTACTTTACTTGATTTCTAAAATAAACTCATTATTTCATTTGACACCTTACTTTATTCAAGATTGTTATTATATTTTACGATGTCTAATTATATCTTTCGTTCACCTAAATTAAATTTTATCACTGTTGCAAAGTACACGGTAGCACGTGGGCTTTGTCGTACGAATGTGATTGTTATTGTGGGCACGAGGTGCCATATGTGTAAGATTTAGAACTTGTGGTTCATGACTTGTGATTTATGAGGTGTGGTACCTCGGGGTAAGTCTTGTTGTAAGTCCATGGATTGGAAGCGATTTGATTATTGGAGTTGTCATCCGTTTTTTTTTATTTGAGTTCATTTACATCTCATCAGTATTTTGATTATGTTGTTTCTTTATTACTCGTTTACTACTTACTGTCATTTATGTTTTTATTACTTCATTGTTGGTTGTAAATCAATAATTTTTCCTCCGTTGGTCTTAGATGTTCTTTCCATTGTTAGCTTATGTATATCATGAACATGTTTCTATGTCTAATAGGCGTCTAGACCTGGCTTCGTCACTATTCTATCGAGGTTAGACTTGATACTTCTAGGTACCATTGTGGTATACTCATGTTATGATTCTGCATATTTTTGTGCAGATTCAGGTATTCTGATTGTGTTGTTGAGAGTTGCGTCTCCGCAGCGGAAAACTTCAAGGTATACCTGCTTGACGTTCGCATGCCTCGGAGTCACCATCTTACTTCATTATGCTACTGTTAAATTGTAATTCAAAACAATATGATGTTTAGAAATTATAGTGTGTTTTAGTAGTGCTTATGACTCCGTACTACCGGTTTTAAAAAAATGTATAACTATTTACCGCTTGCGGCTTTGTATGTCATTTAATGGTTTATGATAAATAATTAAATAGTTCAATTCTGTTATTAAATCAACATGTGTTAGGCTTACCTAGTCTTAGAGATTATGTGCCATCACGACATCCTAAGGTGGGAAATTGAGGTCCTGACAAGGGAATAGTTTCTTCCTAATATGGTAGTCTATATCTATAAAATACTACAAATATATTTTTGACATAGAGAATAATTTGATTTCGAATTTAAAGATAAAAATATTAGTTCGAATTTATAGATATAAAGATTTGAGTTGAGATAAAATAACATTTCATTTGCTTATGGCAAATAATGCAAAAATAGAAATTATTAAAAATATCATTAAATTTATGATAAAATAGTAAAATTACTTATCTATTTATATTTTTAAAAAATTCAAAATTAGCCACTTGGCAATTTAGGACAAAGTTAGTTAGTTAGGTAATAATTAGTATTTTTTTAAATTTAAATTATACATTATGTGTTGTTAATAATTAGTTACTCTCTTTGAGTTAACAAATTCGGAGTTTTTAAATTATTCTAAAATAAAAAAACAAAAATAAAGAAAAAAAAAACTCCCAATTCAAATTGAAATAGATAATAATTTGATCTATAAATAGTTTGGTAGTCTATATCTATAAATACTACAAATATTCTTTTGATATAGATAATAATTTGATTTCGAATTTAAAGATCTATGTCTATCTTCTATATATAATAGGAGAGACAAAGACATTATTATAAATCAAGTGGCAACATAATAAAAAGCCACTTGATAATTTTAGGACAAAATTAATTAGGTTAGGTCATAATTAGTTTTTTTTTTGAATTTAAATTTTAAAATAAATAAATTATGCACTGTGTGTTATTAATAATCAGTTACTATTTTTGAATTTGAATTTAAACATAGAAGAAAAGTGTAATTTAAATTTGAAACAATTACAAACAACATAGTAAATAATATAAAAATTAAAAATTTTGATTAAAAATAAAATAGAAGAAAAGTCTAATTGTTTATTTCATATAATGTAAAAAAATCTAAAAGTATTGATACATTTTAATTATATAATTATATTATTACTCATCTATTTTCATACTGTTGTTGCAATATTTATCAGTTGATGGGTTTGTATAATAATATTATCTACTATTTCATGAATAAATAAAAAGATGATAAATATTTTAATTATAAACTTTATCTTGAATTTTTTTCAATTTCTTCATGTACTTAAATAACAAAAGTGTAATGGGAGAAAAAATAGTGAAATTTGAATAGACTTGAATATATGAATATCCTGTAGTTTTATATGTTTATAAAATAATATCATTTACATATTTCTTTGCGTCGTAGCTTTCAAGTAATAGTTTTTATGAAATATTATATTTAATATTCTCCGCGCAACGCGCAAGTATGAATACCGGTATTACCTATATAACACGGAATTAAACACATAAGTGTACTTGGTATTTATATCTTATCAATGAATTCAAAGACATCTATTTGTTCTAGAAACTATCTTTTAATCATGATTAAATGATATGCGTACCGTAATTAGTATATAATAATTATACTACAATTTATTAGATAGGCTCCTTTATAATTTATATTGACCAAATTAAAAGGATAAAAGGGTGTCATATTCTATAATAGGCTTTTCCCCCATGTGGTTTTAACTTTTCCCATTTGGTAATCCCTTTTCTTTAATCCCATTTTCATCACTTTCCAGCTTCTTCTCAACAGACTCCACTTGAGTTATTTCCACTTTCTTCTCTTTTCTCTTTGCATTTAGAAAATTAATTAACCCTTTAAGGGAATCCTCAATCTCATCTTGCTTCAACAGCTGCTCTGCCACTTCTGCAGGCGTTACCATTTCTATGCCAATTAATTCCTCAATTTCTTTGAAAAGTTTGTGCTCTTTAATCCCAAGGTAATTAGAAGCAAGAAGCTTAAAACCACAAGGTGTGCAATATGCCATATGAATATGTACGTCCATTCTACCAGGCCGTAATAGTGCAGGGTCGAGTTTTTCTATGTGATTTGTTGTAAAAATTATGATTCTTTCGTCGCCACAACTTGACCATAGTCCATCAATAAAATTCAGTAAACCAGACAATGTCACCTGCAATAAAAAAATATATTACTGGTAAGGAAAAGTATTATAATACACTAATAACAAATCCAAATTTTCCCAATATTTAACTCATAAGACTGTTCGGGGTCGTTTGGTAGGGTGTATAAGAATAGTAATGAATATGGTGTATTAGTAATATTGGAATTAGTTATACTAGATTATTTCTTATTCACTGTTTAATTTAGTGTATTAAAAGTAATATGCATTGCATAGGGCTGTATATATGCTTATCTATTTATTAAAAATCATAGTATTACTAATGTCATGGTTTGTTATGTATTGGTTATACATATGATAATACGAAATAGAGTGTATAACTAATACATAGGTTGAAAAATACTACCAAACAATTGATTAATAATACTAAAGCTAATACATATATTACTTTTCCCTAATACATTATAAGGTGTTTGGTTTGTGCTATAAATAATAAATAATAAGAGAAAGAAAAGTCATTCCATTTCTACAAAAGACCCCCACCCAAGTTCCATAACTTAATGATTTTTCTACCCAGAGGGAAAGGTATTTTCCTTTTGGGCCCGCGATAACGGATTCGAACCCTTGACACCATGGTTCATAGCCACGTTTTCTAATCCATTAAGCTACAAGTCCCACCCCTTCTCCACTAGATCTGTTCCGGGGAGTGCAAATTGGAGAATGTTTTGATTTAAAAGGAGACATTTACGACGTCAATTTGAATTAGTCGGATTGGTAGATTTAGAATATCACATATGATTAAATAAAATAAAGCAGTAAGATAGGAGATTGAAAATAAAAGACCAACCTTGCTTTCTTGCTGATGAAAACCATGTGAATTAGCAACAACGACAGCTCGATTAGCCAAATTATCTTGCAAGTCAATTGTACAGTCAATATCCTCTACCACCAAAATTGACTTATTAGCTGTGGTAACCAACAACTTCCTTAAATGTGAATTCCTCCTTAGCTCAGTCAACTCCAAATCATATATATCAAAGTTCAAATAATTAGCCATTGCAGCAATCAAACTTGATTTCCCAGTCCCCGGAGGACCAAACAACAAATACCCTCTTTTCCATGCTTTCCCTACTTTTCTATAATACTCTTTCCTCTTTACAAATCTCTCTAAATCTTTCAAAATCATGTCTTTTTGGTCTAATTCCATTGCAATTGTCTCAAAAGTTGCAGGATGATCAAGATTTACTGGCTTCCACATGTCATGTAAATTGTATATGTTCTCATAATCTACAGTGTGAATCTTGATTGTCTTGTTTTCATGTTTTTGCTGTTTTGCTTCTTTTAAAATGTAAGGCAAGTAAGAATTAAGGGCAAGGTCTTTGTTTTTCTTGTGAAATGTTAGCTCAAAAGACCTTACTTCTGATTTTAGAGTGGAATTCATGTCTCTAGGATTATGGAAATGTTTAGCCTCTGTTTGCATGCAGAGCCAAATCCACTTGAATTTCTGTCCATTATAAATATCTGTCACCTGTTACAATAAAACTTTAAGGTAAAAATCATCATTTTCACGAGATCTATTGTTGTCAAACCTCTCTACAACATCTTTATTTGTTCCGATATTTTTTGGTTGCTATAGTGAAATGCTGTTATAGAGGACATACTTAAACATAATTTAAAAAAAGATTTCAAAAAAAAACTTAGCTTTTATAGTGAATGGTTGTTATACAGGGATGTTGTTATAGAAAGGTCTGACTGTATATCATATGTCTAATCTGGAGACCATAAACTTATTTATAATTGCAATACTTTATTCATTTTTAATTTAGCTAGCGTTTCAATAAATTAGAAATTACATCAGCATCTACCATAGGCAGATCTAGGATTTCTATGGGTGCACTACTAAAAAAAAAGTGGAAAAACATATTTAGCGGGAACTGATCCATATTTCTCTTGATAAATAATTCAACCTTCAACCGAGTGCACCATTCAGTCTTCTTAGAACATGGATGCCAATATTTAATATTATATCAAGTTTTAAAAATATGTACATAAAATATCTAATTTTACCATAATCCCCCTATAAATCCCCCCTTGGTATATACTCTACACATAAAAACACATACATACTTTATGATGTTTCTTATGCTCATTTAGCTTTAAACATTAGCAATCGTCCATACTACTTCTAGTTAAGGTTAAACATTTTTTGTATGAAAACAAATACTAAATGCAATTATCACTATATATATATATATATGTGCAAAACATCACCTCCTCATTACGTTCCATCGCGACGTTAAAATTCTTCTCCTTCTCAGGCTTACTGATTTTGAGTCTGTGGGTGTTAGGGGACAACTTGTTGCCCAAATAGATTTCAGCAGCTTCATAAATTTCATTGTTGACAAGGCCATCAAATTCGTCAATTACCATTGTAAACTCATTTGAGAATTTGGTGAAAATATTTTTAAGTCCAAAAAAGATATATTCATGGAATTCTGGTGGGATATAATCATGGACTATAGTACGGACTAACATGGCTGTTGCAGCAACAGAGCCTACTGTCGATAAAACAGTCTTGGCCAAAGCCATTTTTGATTCTGCTGAAGATGATGACATTTTATTTTTATTATAAAGAGGGATTTTCTGCTAGTGGGTATTCAAGATTTTGGTATTGCAAATGACTAAACCAGAAACATGATAAATTTATAGGAGAAGTATGTGAAGAAAAGACCAAAAATGGAGGGAGAAATTGGAAGAAGAAGCAGGAAAATTGGAGCAAGACTTAGTATTTTGGTAGATGGAATTGACTATGTAGACTTGAAAACATCTTTGAAAGTTTCCATGTTCCCACAAGAATTTCCTTTACAATTAAAGGGTTACATGTCAGCGGTTACTGCTTACAGTTATATATCTTCTTAATATTTTAACTGCAGTATCTGCCATGGACGTATAGGTGCTTTAGAGCAAAGTAAAATTGGTTCTGCGTGTAACCTATAGGTCGCGGATTCGAACCTTGAAAGTAATCACTAATGCTTGTATTGGCGTATGTGGTCTACATCACACCTCTTGAGCCGTGGTACTTTCCGAGCCTTATGTGAATGCGAAATGTCTCGTGTACTAGGCTGTCCTTTTTTTATCTGCCGGGACGAAATTAATGTCGATGAAGGAAAAAATTATACCCAGTATCTTGATCATATATTAATTTTTATGCATATAATAAATTTTAAACATTACTATCTGTCCGGCATGTTTCTATTTGCCTTTTCATAAAAGATTATATAGGAAAAACGCAAAATCAATGTGAACAGGGAGATTTTTTGAAAATAAGTCTAAGAAGGTTCGGGTTTGCAGTAAATTACTTTTCAAATTTTGATGAACTAGTACTTCAGTCAAATCCCACACGTTACTCAATAAACACCGGCAAAGTAGTAGCAGCATGTCTTTTTCTCTGACTTGACTCTAAATTTAATTGGGTCTATGTGAAGTATAAATAGGGCTTTTAAACTGAACAGTCGTGTTTCGACCGGTCTAAAATTTATTGGCAAAATACAAAATTGGTCGTCTAAATTAATTGTATGCGTTACCCCAAAAATATAGAAAATATGTATAATATCTATATAATATACATTTTATTGGCTATTATTTATGGAAGCGGCTTAAGATATACATTTTTCAACAATTTGTTGGGAATCTTACCTAAATGTCCCAAATAAGTCCTAACTTACCAACCTCTAGCCATTAATTATAGACTTACCAAAACTAGCCAAAAACATATAAAAATTGGAAACCCAAATAAATAAGGTTCTTTCTCTCCAAGAATCATACGCAAAGATCTTCTTCCATATTTTTAAGCGTGATTAGCAACATTAAATGTAAGACGGAAAGGAAATTTCATGGATGAGGTAACAAATAAGGTGATGAAATACAAGAAAATATATATACGAGATTCCCAAAATCTAAGTGAAAAAGGATTTTTTCAATGGGTATAGTTGAGATTCATTGAAAACATATAGATGAGTCAACATACAACATTTGAGGAAGATTGGAGGTGATTTGGACTGATTTGGTATCAAAATTCGTAGTTAAAATCGAGTTCAAAAACTTCTTCTGTGACACATCTATCACACATGTATCTCACACACTGGTATACATGGATATACATGTGAGACACATTTGGTACAACTATGATACATATGTAATACACATATCATTTTTTCCATGTTTATCTTCTACTTCGAATTTTCAATTCAAACCATCTTAAAACTCCCCCAAATCATCCCAAACTGAGATTCAAGCTCCTTAAGGAAAGAAAAAAATTATTCTAATAACACTCACTCAAGGAAAGCAAAAAATTAATCTTTTTTTGGCTACAACTAGCTAATTGGCTAATGTTGGTAATATGTGGCTAATATTAGTAATATTTTATAAACTGACTAATTTTTGTAATAAGCTACTTATAAATGGACATAGCTGGTATTTTCAATTTGTTTGAGTCATTATAAGTTGGACTAATAGCCTGTTTGGACAAGCTGGAAAAATCTGCTTATTTTGAGAAGTGCTTTTTTAAAAAGTGTTTTTAAAAGAAGTATTTTTGATGAGAAGCGGTTTGTGTTTGGCCAGTCAATTTGTAAAGCACTTTTGAGCATCAATTAGTGTTTGGCCAAGCTGTTAAAAGGTGCTTCCAAGAGTATTTTTCTCAAAAGTGCTTATAGGAATAAACTACTTTTTTCTGCTTCTCAAAAACGATTTCTGCTTCTACTCAAAAGCACTTTTTTCCTTCAAAAAGCTTGGCCAAACACCTTAACTTTAAAGAAACAAACATGTTTTTTTTAAAAAGTACACTTTTGGCCAAGAAAAAACTTGGCCAAACATGCCATAAGATTAGTTGAGCAACGTGTTATAGCCCAATTTGCTTAACGCAAAATACACTAACTTCTTAATCTTTTTTTTTTGGTTGTAATTTGTAGCTGTACAATTTGCTAAGACATGATTCATTTTCAACAAGTAAAGTTGTATAATATAATTTAAACTAGCTGTTTGTCTTTTTTACTTTCTATTTTCATTTTAGCTAATATTGTAGTTCAAATGTCCTGCTATGGTTCCTTCGAGTTGCACTTATAATTACTTCAAATTGAAGGCTACTTTATCTGTAATATGGCCATTATTTTATCAAATGGAGTCCATCTCACATAAGTATAAGCATCTTTGCAAAGTGTAGACTTTGTTGGCAATATTCTTTAGGACCCAAAAATATTACATTGTGTGTTGGACATCATTTGCACAAGTTGTATCTCTTCTTTTACACGTAAGAGGTCAAGACTTTTTTGCCTATAAAAGGGAAGGCCATTAGTTCATTTTAGACACACCAACAAGACTTGTCTTCAATGTTTCTTCCTTTCTTTCTTTATTAAGAGTGTTTTGTATGAGAGTTAAGTGTTGGGAAGCACTTGTGTGAACCCTTTCTTTGGAGTGATCTTGTGAGGTTATTCTCTTAGGGTATTTGGGATTAATTAGAGTGTTTACTCTAATTTTGTACTCTCTTTTGTACTCTTATTGTTATAGTAAATTACTCCTCTCCGTTTGTGGACGTAGGTCACTTTGACCGAACCACGTTAAATTTGTGTCTTCTTTATCTACTTTAATTGTCGTTGTTATCAACTTCCATTGTCTTTGTTATTATCATTATACCGTTGTTTGGCTAAATTTCGCANCTATATTCCGCACTACCCGGGTTCCCGATCCTAACAAATTGGTATCAGAGCCGGATCTAACCGGGTTAGTTTTCAATAGCCAAAATGACTCTAACAAAGACCGAAGAGCAAACTTCGGAATGTGAAACTTAAAGATGGAAGCTATCCTAATTCAGGATGGCTTAGACTTGGCGTTGCAAGGAAAGGAGAAGAAGCCGGATAAAATGACGGACGAGGAGTTTGCCATTATAGACAAAAAGGCAAAAGCAGGTATTATTTTAAATCTCTCAAATGAGGTTTTACGTGAAGTTTTTGTAGAAACCACAGCTAAAGGCATGCGGAAAAAATTAAAAACCTTATATATGAAGAGGACGGTTGAAAATAGACTTTACCTGAAGCAGAAACTTTATACAATTCGTATGAGTGAAGGTACCTCTATTCTCTCTCATCTTGACACATTTGATTCCATTCTTATGGATTTGAGTAATATAGATGCTAATATTAAAGATGAGGATCAAGCCGTATTACTGCTTTGTTCTCTACCCCCATCTTTTAAGCATATAAGAGATACTATGCTTTATGCAAAGGATAATATCTCTTATAAGGATATTAAATCTATCTTAAAATCAAAGGAACAGATAGATAGTGATATTACTGGGGAAGCTAGTGGAATCAAGCGGAAGTTGGCTTGTTTGTTAGGGGCAAATCCGACTTCATATCCAGATACAATAATTTACCGTGTCGCTATTGTCATAAGAAAGGTCACATTATTTCTGAATGCTTTAAATTGAAAAACAAAGAAAAGCATACAGAAAAGAAAAATGAGCACAAAAATATTGACACTGCCGAAGCAAGTGTAGCTGCTGATGAGACTGAGGGAACTATTTTTTTAGCAACTAATAATAGTTTCAAATCTAACAATGAGTGAATTTTAGATTCGGGTTGTTCTTATCATATGTGTCCCAGTCGG